AACTTGACCCCATCACTACTGTTTCTTTGGCCAGTTCCCCTTGATTGTTTCACGTGACCAAGTTAGTCACCCTCGGCGGTCTCTACAATATGACAGCATTACGCGTCTTCATCACTGGCCTCACGTGGACAGAAAGGATCTGTGGTTTAGAGAGACGAAACTCCTTATAACCGAACCGTTGATTGTTACCCAATAACGGAGTGCATTTGATCAATTACCACGGCATCGATCAGTGAAGTTCGCTTCACTATATAACGCTGTACAATAATGATGCTGAATTACCATGTTACCTCAATGGTATCCTTGTTGGTAACATACAGGGTTTACCGGCACACCAGGGTTAAAATAAAACTTGTTTTTAGGTCAACACCCAATTGGTTGCTGCTCTCTTGAGGACGATTGAATAATATCAACCAAGATTTTATTCGATGGCTTTTCAGGCGCATTTCTACAACATTCGCTTGACGCAAGTATTGTATGAATTAGTTTCGCTTCTACAACAGCAAACACATCGGGCGATCTACAGATCTGATTGACGAAACCATCCCGGGGTTTGATCGGAATCTGACATACTACAAAAATATCGGGTGGTGATGAGCTTTCATGGTTATGTTTATCCACGGTTAGTTTGTGTTAACTCAATTTTCATCAGTTGCATGCTGTTAATGGTCTATATATTTGTGACTGATCTTCAGCGTGCGATATAAAACCACAATTCAAAGCTGCAAAAACCTTGTCTCCTCTCCCCGCACGTTTTTGCAGTCTCAGTTCAAGGAAATTAGCAATGCGGTTCTACCGCGAGCCGAACTCGCTTTCCGAGTGATCACAGTAGAAGCGTTTCAGCACCATATCATTGGTTGTCCACAACGCATCGAAAGTGTGCGCTATCAACGCAACACACTTCAGTTCAACATTTGTCTAGTTATCAAACCCAAAAGTTGTCACATTCTGGATGATATCACCGGATGCCAGTTCGCTACTGACCAGTCTGCTGGTGGATTGCGTCTTCCGATTCAACTGGCCTATGAGGCTCTGGTATTGAAAATTAATCGATTTTTCTACACACTGGAAGATGATTGTGCCTTCTTGTCCAAATGTATCGACGAGAGCACTGGAGAGTGGACTGATGTGAACATGTCCTGTCTGGAGGCAATTTTTCAACAGCTGCACACGGATGGAATATGCGTGTACCCGTTCGAAAACTCGGGTTCTCTTTATTTGCGGGTAAGTAATTTATAATGTGCTCGGTTCCAACTGAATGGTGTGAATCTGGGATCATATCGATTGACAAGAAAGATGACAGATCCTCTTGTGAAAACCACAGTGGAATTAGTTTAATCAACATTGCTTCTAAACTTCTCGCTCGCATCATAGTCCGTTTATTGTCTGCCGCACGTGAACCGTGCACGCGTGAGAACCAGGCTGGTTTTAGACCTGGTCGAGGTTGTATCGACCACATCTTCACTCTGCGCCAATTTCTGGAGCACCAGCATTCTTTTCTTAGACCCACCACCTCTAACTTCCTCTATCTGAAAGCGGCTTTCTACTCAGTCGACTGCTCTAAACTCTGATGCTGCCTTTCCTTCATGGGTGTACCCGAGAAGTTTATTTCAATATCACGATCCCTCTTTGCTCATAGTCGAAGCCGAGTCCGAGCTTACGGCACTTTTTCACCCGAATTCACCACTGAAACTGGTGTTCGACAAGGTTGACCTCTCCTTTTCTGTTTAACCTTATGATAGATTTGATTATGGAAGGGATAATGGTATCGGTTTACTCCCAGGTGGCAGGCTGTATGATCTAGAGTATGCATACGACATTGTGCTGCTACGTTAAAATCCAGGTAAGTTATAAGCTTTTCTGGATAGTTTGAGTGCTAGTGTATCCGTGTTTGGTGTGCGTTTTTCACCTTCAAAGTGTAAAATGCTACTACAAGACTGGTTGGGTCCAGCACCCAGGCTCACTGTAACTGGGGAAGTAATAGAGCAAGTGGATAAGTTTTGTTATGTGGACAGCTACATCACCTGGTGGACGCATCACGGATGAAGTATCAGTTCGTATACAGAAGGCTCGGTTGACATTTACCAACTTGAAACATCTGTGGCGCAGTCGCGACATCCGACTGTCTTCGAAGAGTCGGGTGTATGCTGCGGCAGTTCGGCCAGTTCTGCTATATGGAGCAGAAACTTGGCCATTGAGAAAACATCTCAATTTCTCCGCTTCATTAGTCCTCTGAAATTTTCCATTTTCTTTTCGATCCTATTTACAATCTTCCTGTTTTCTTCGTATTGTTCACCCAAATGGGCATCCATAAGAGAGCAACTAAAAGCGTCGCACGGAAATGCATCCTTAGTGGTTGTCTAAGCTGAACTGAAGTGCATATGCTCGGTCGAGCTCCCAATTGTGATGTTTTTTCCTGTTCAACAGGTATTTTATCTCTGTGTTTCAGTACTGGTGTACGATTCGGGCGTCACTGTTTAATCCGGTCCCGCCTCCCAACTTGCCTCTTCTTTGATGGGGGTCAAGCAATCAAGCAGTTTAAGACCCTGAAGTTGGCATGCCTTGGGTCAAAAGCTCTAACGCAGACATTCGGCGATAAGCAGCTCTGCTCTTGTACTACTGAATGTCACGCCTATCCCAGGAGACCTTATGTAATCTGCCACTTCAAGTACCAGGACTTAGTTTACGGATCGCCCTAAGTGAACAGTTAATACAAGTTGTATATATCCTGGATGGGTACTTTGGGATCGTTGTAATGATAATGACACTGAGTGATGTGGCTGAGTGTTGAAAACAGCAGCGCTCACGCATCTGCTCAATTTGCTTGCAACCGTTGTCTACCGAAATTCTCCATTTTCTCTTCGATACTGCTTTCAGCTTTCCAATTTTCCTTCTACGCCTTCATCCAAATGGACAGTCAAAAGACAGCAACCAAAGCCGGTGCACTAAAGTGCGTGGTTAGTGGTTGCGCACACTCAAACTGTAAAATGAAACTTTCTAACGTCACTCCAGTCAATGAACACAAGGAGTAAGAGTTTACCGATCGAAATGCACTGCGTGAGAAGTCTTTTTACTTCATTTGGCAGCGATATGGTCCCAGATTATAGGTTATCTGCTCTTGAATATGCAGATAATATTGCACTATTGAATGAAGACTCGGGAAGTTGCAAGCTTTCCTGGATGGTTCTGGTATTGGTGTAGCTTTGTTTTGTGTTTGTTTTTGCTCTTCGCAGTGCAAAACGTTGTTACAGGACTGTGTGTAGGGAGGCAAGAGAGAAAGCAAATAGACTGCTTTTTACGTAACTACATCACATGTTTCGGACGAATCTAGGATAAAGTATCAGCACACTCACTGACCTCTGGTTGTCAATTTGAGACAAACCGGAGCACCAGTAGTTCTGGTCCACTACATTGTCTGAGTCTCAATTGCCCAAGTCGAGTTCTGGGTGTCACTACTGCAGATAGAACCAACAATTGGAAACTACAAATCATTAGCGTAGATTTCTGTCGCTTGCGTCATGGGTCAGCATGCTCCCTGGGACTTGCTTTGTCCTGGGACAACCAATGAGATCCAGGATAGCGGAACTCAGGTCGGAACCGCCAGCCAAACAAGACCGTTGACCGCAATCTAGTCATAACGACGAGACTGCACCTTGACGTGTTGTGATGGCTTGTGGATTTCTCTGANCCTCTCTGGCCCAACGAGCCATACGGGATGGCTTTTTTCAAGCCGCAGATCTAATCATGCCTGGAAGGTCAATGGGTAGAGGTCAAACGAAGTCCAGTCTCCTGGTCCTCCAGGTTGGGGGTTCGACTCGAGTTAGCGTGTCAGTCGGTAAAATGGTAGGGGAGTAATTGATCCAAGCAGATGTGCCTCTACTTCGCCTTGCAGTTAGGTTCTTGTCAGAACTAAAGACTTTGGACGAGAACCGTAATCATTCTCCTGCTTAGTGGATGGACACCCTAGCAGTTACCGTCCATCAAATCCCAGTGCATACACAAACTAAAAATAATTCCGCACTGCATCGGTCGTCGAGCAGGATCATCAGGGCCGCGCTGCCCATTGCATCGAGCGGGGTGGGCAATGATATGTGGGCTACTGCTCAGATATCCCAACCTTTGTTTAACTCTTTGTCTCCCATACCTAACCCTCTCCGTTTACCTCTTCTTCCAACCCGTAACATTCCCTCAGATAACTTGTTCGCCACCCACCAAAGTTCGTTGCCAAGTAGTCCGCTAATTAGTTTACCACAAAATAGATTGCAGATTCTAAAGCCTCGTCAGCCACTGAATCTGGGGACCTTCAACGTGAGGACTGATGCAGGTAGGTCAACAAGCGTGTCTGGCGTGTACAATGGACTCCTTAGGGATTAATGTCTGCTGCGTGTCGGAGACTCGAATCCAGGATCCTAGTACTATATACCACTTAAGTGCACCGGGGTTGTCTTCGAGGTTCTTCCTTCGCACGTTAGGTGATGACGAAGCCCATTCAATAGGCCAGCGTAGTGTGGGCTTATACTCAATAATACAGCCGAAGCCGCACTACTCGATTGGATCCCCGTCAACAGCCGCTTATGCGCAATGAGGCTCCAAGGGTCTATCAACGTCCGGAAGGGTATTCGCGGTCGTCCACTGGAGCAAGTGGTCGACCTCCATAGATTACGGTGGTTGGGGCATATCTTATGCATATCAACAAAGAGGTTGCCACGGCGAACGATGTTTACCGAGGCAGGTAGTGGGTGGAAGAAAGACAAGGGTGGTCAAGCTAAGACCTGGCACGAGGGTATGAAAACCCTAACCTAGAGTCTTGGTCACATAGGTTCCGTTAGGCTCCCTGGCTGGGGACCTCGGGATGATCATACTCGATGGTTAGAGACACTGTGATATGGCTGAGAATCATAAACAGTGGCATTCGTACATCTTGTCAATTTCTCTGCAACATTAGTCCACTATAATTGTGAACTTTCTCTTTGATCCTACTTTCAACCTTTCCTGACTTTCTTCTGACGTTCATTCAAATGGGCAGCCAAAAGACAGCAACCAAAACCGGGGCACGAATATGTGTGGTTAATGGTTGTATAAAATAAAAACTAAAAGGGGAAAAGCCATGAGCAGCGTTTAAGAGGACTTAATCACTTCCCGCTGGAGCTTATGTAATGACCATTCACATCCCATTCTCAATGTACCTTTCCCCTTGTGCATCTGATTGTTTTATCACACCAAGGCCACCTCTTTGGTCGGCACGTGTTGGCTTTCCCTTTCCGCACGCTTGCTCACGCCTCTGTATCTCCCCCTTGCTCTGCAGGCCTTTACAATACAAGTCGTCACCGTTTCGTGAATCGCCTCGTTCTCTCCTCGTACGAACGTGCGTTTGCGATCTATACGTATCAGCTCGGGGTACCGATAACCTAGTTCCTACAAATTGGTGAGGCGTCATTTTATTTTATTTACGTTGTAAATTATTTTTCGGAGGAATTTTAATTTCTCTAGGTCACGTTTGTGCTAAATTGCACGCATATTTATTTCCACGGAACCACTCTCGTGCGTATAATTTTAGATTATATTTATCCCCAGGTCACGGTTTTATCATCGTTTGCTATTAAATGTTTTGTCCACTTTCGGTTTTCCAACGTAGTTTGTATTTTCTTGTCTTGAAGTGACTCTCGGGTTCGAGGCTGGCGCCCAATGGTCCCGGATCCTTCATGGTTTCTTGATTTCTGTTCTTGGAAGATGTCAGGTCAGGTCAGGTCAAGTTGCACAGGACGGTAGATGCTTTCGCCTATCGAGCGTCCAGATTCTTGCTCCAGTCGGAAACCCGTCT